AATTGTAAGCTATTCATGCTTGCATCCTATTATGGTAGCTCAGAGATGTTTCAGTATCCATCTATTATTTATAAATTTAGTACTGTGCTTACAGAGCTTCTTGATTATAGAAATTTGCTGTAAAAGAAAAAGAAGGACAATGTCATATCATATCAGAAGGAAAGAAGTTCCTTAGCTCTATTTGATTTCAGGCATGAGTCATATTTGAGAGCCAATCATGTAGTCACTGGATGTTAAAAGCAGGGTTCAGGATTAACCAGGTGGGGAATTCTCCTTTTCAGAAAGGAAATAGCACAATTGGGAAATAGAGTCAGGAAGATCCTACCTAGGCTGTGTTCTAGGTCGTCCTCAAAACTCTTCCCAGGCACAGACATCCATGTTAAGCAGTTCTCAGCCTGTAGCACATGCCATTCTACTATTGGCTTCATGACAACTCAGACAATTATCCTGGTAATCAAAGCTCAAAACAATAGTAAATTGCTGCCCCATAAAGTCACATATCTTAGATAATAAGAATTTAATCTCACAATGGTAACAGTAAGAGACTGATCACAGAAAAATCCTACTGCTCTCATGATTCCTTTAAACAATGGGAACATCTCAAGGTGAATCTTGAGCAGTTTGCATAAATTTCTGCACATGTTTTAATTCCAGATTAAAAATAATACTAGATTTCCCATTAAGTTAACACAAAAGAGCTCATAAGTTACTACTCTTCACTAACATGACTACCTGTACTGGAATCCCATTCCTTAAACAAAGAGGTTCCTAACCTTAACCTCACAAGCTGATGGTTTTATGTCCTTGTTCACAAGCTTGTTTATTCTTCTCTACTTATATTCACTTTGGAAGAATGAGACACTTCAGGATTTGAAACCTATACATATAAGTTCAAACACTAATTTAACTCTTGCTTAGGCCATGGAATGACTACAGATTCAGATAAAAACAGCAAGATCTCTTCTGCTTTACAACTCATTACAATAATTTAGCAATAAATTATCTTGCAAATGAAAATTTAGTAGGTCTTCAAAAAAAATCAAACAAGACATATCTTCTAAAAGTATTTCCCTTCTTTAAAAACAGTTTAAAATTTATCCTGACGTTAAGAAAAATAATTACTAAACTTTTATGAAGAACATTAGTTGGAAACTTTTAAAATGATAAATATCTCTCTTTTCCACCTTAAAGTAAATATAAACCTTTAAAATTGGAATTCATTAAAACTAAGTTGATGTAAAATGTCCGTAAGTAACATAAATAAATTCCCAAAGTACTATAATAAACTAAATTACTAGTTATTACAGAATTCCTAGATATCACCAAGTTTCTTAGTCAAAAAGGTGTTTGTAATGGAGAAAAAATTCAGTTTTTATAATGCATGAAGAACATACCCAATTAAATTAGCCTCATCACAATAACACATATTATTAAGCCTTTAAAAATTTACTCAGTATTTTTTTTCTCCTTTGTCTTTAAATATATCTCTAAAAATTAGGAAAAACTATTACATTCTGGAATCTCACATAGATAGTGAATGCGGTAGTTCATAAATTTCCAAATTAACATAACCCAATGATTCTCATTTACTCAGGAATTCCACAACACCGGAAACTTTTACACAGAGTTGATAAGAATTTTAAGTGAAACTTCCTCTTAAAGGTAAATAAGACTTGGAAGTTTATTCTAACCCATTCATTCTCCCTGATTTTTTTTGAGGGGGTACGATTCTTGATCTAACATCTCTCGATTATAAGAGAAATTGCTTTTTCAACAACATAGCTGATACAATTTGTTTACCAGATAACACCACATAAAAAAATCAGAAATATAACCATACTATAAGCAATAATTATGTATTTAAAACTTGAAACAGAACCAATTAATTACCTGCTTATAACCAAATATACCTCATTAAATGGTAACAATTCTCAAATTATCCAATTTTATCACATCCTTTTAAAAGACCAAACCATACGCACCATTTCTACCTCACAATGGTCTCTGAAATTTTACAATCTAAGAGAGTTTTAGAAATACAATATAATTTAGAAAAGTAGTAGTAACATAAACAACAAACTTCAGATGAAATCTGTTGTCTTTCCAGATTATCACATATAGAAATTATTGATCTCATTACTCCTGGTATTCAAAAACCACTTCAAAGTTATCAGGTATGGAACAATTACATTAAATTAGGGAGATAATAATAATGTTGTCTAACATATGCCAGTCGTTGTTTTAAGCACTTTATAATCATTATATCATTTCGATCCCATAACAACAACCATTATTATTCTTCCCTTTACAAATCAGGAAACAGGGCAAACAGAGATAAAATAACTTGCCATAAATTCTAAAACTGGAACAGAGAAGCATGGGGCTTACCAAGAGTAGAAGTTGGCTTCTCACCTCATAATGCTGTTGCCAGGCCTTCCAGGGGCTGGGGTGGCTGATGCCAGGGCCTTCCCAGTGGTGATGATTCTTGGTGGCAGGGCTTAGGGAATCTCATTATAGTTTTGACCTGTCCACTTCTCCCCTCCCCACAGCTGCAGAATTTACTGAGGCTGGTGCTATTTGCAGCTGTTGGGGCACACAGAATGTATTGAACCTGGGTGTTTCTCCCAGGCCTTGCCTAGAGGGGTGGGCTGCAAGGTGCCCTGGGGCACAGGACTGCTAGTCTGTGATAGCTGCCCCTCCCCTCTTTTTGCCAGATGGGGAAGGCTGATATAAGTTTTCCCTACAATTCTCCAGCATTCTCTTCTCTTTTACAATTCCCACACTGAGATACTTATCTCTGAGGAGGGAGTGGGGAATGCTGAGGAATCAGGATTGGGAGGAGGTGTTTTAGCAGAGGGTGAGCTCCTGGAATTACCCCCAGTCTCAGTTTTCTCCAACAATCCCAAAATGATCAATTTCCCAACTTCTTAATGATTAATCTCAAAACCTCCAGAATCTGCTAAGATGTCTTTAGCTGCATCTAACTTTTCACTGTCGCTCCAGGCTGGCCAGGCCTGGAACCACAAGTAAAGGAGTTTTACAGGTTTGTTGTTTTCCTAGCTGCATCCCTTAGAAGTCTCTGGCAGCCTTTAAAATCTTATAAAGTAACAGACTCACTCACAGCACACATGATACAGACACAGAGACACACACTGACAGACAAACTGACAGGACAAATACAATACAAACATAGCGCACACTTAATGACAGAGAGAGAGAGGGAATTAGAGGCTTGTTGGGTACTCCCAACACAAATTGGCTGTTTATTATTATTCCAAGGCAGTGGGGTTGGGGAATTTGCAAGGATCCAAGACCTGACAGTGTAACTGAATCCTGTGAGCCTTCCTCAGAGTGCCCCTGAGGTTGCAGATTTAAAGGGGCAAATCCCAATGAAGTTAAGTTGGGGGATCTGAGTCCCTGCCAGGACCATAGCCTTTAAGGGAAAGGGCAGGAGGAAACAGATTATTCGGAGCCTGGGAAAGAGTGCTGAAGTGGTTTTGCGAGCCTTAAGGGAAGAGGCTTCTGCCTTTTCTTCTCCCTCAACCATCTCAGCAACCCAGCGATGAAAACATTTCCACTCCTGGCTAGATGTTTTGCTGGCCTTTAAACTTAGTTTGATTTTAAGATAAAGTAACTTTGACGGGTCAAAAGAACCCCTATTGAGGCCAACGTAATCTGGGGCTATCTTTAGTTAGCTGACATCAGTGCTGGCAGTACTTGTGATCACCAGATTGGCAATGGCTTGACATATAAGAGATGACGGTCTTGTTAGCTGGATTTCTAGTTTTAGTTTCTGACTGACCCATAGCCAATTTCCCTAGATCGATCCTTACCAGAGGGGATCTAACAGATACAATAGCCAGAGTTTCTGAACTTCGACTTGATCCCCAACTCCAGAGCTAGCTTAAAGGGAATTTTCTTTCGAACTTCAACCAAACTAGTGGGAGGTCTATGGAAACCAGGAATAGGGAGAAACTTACCCGACCCCATCAAGGTTAGGACTCCAGGAAAAAAAACCCAAAAAAACAGATCCTGAGGCACCAGAGCCACCAGCATTGCTGGGGTGGGCTGGTGTTTTCACCTATTCCTTCAGCTTCATCCAAGTCACGGCACCATTACTGTTGACCTGAAAGTTGGTTAAAGAGACAACAAGTTAGGTGATAAGTAAATTCATATTGTTTTATTCCCTTAAGTTAGCAGCATGTAACATGTTACATGGAGGCAGAGCTTTAACTCTGACTGAAGCAAGCCATTTTAGCAGAACGTTTAAACCCTGACTCAGAATGTCTGCGTTACTCAGATTTGCAGTCTCCATATATGTTTAACCAGAGCATGAGAAAGGAATTTTCTTAATTGAATTGCTTGTAAATACAATAAGATAGAAAAATGTCGTCAAAGTGTATATGATAGATCCAGGATATCTGTGTTTCCTTTACCATTAACATGACACAACATAGCATATGTACATCAAATACCAAGATAAGAAAAGTCCCCTTATTCAAGGTAATGTCAGGGTTGAAGGCTCCTTAGTGGTCATAAATAGAAGAATGCTCTTGGTCGGATTCAGCTGTTGACACAGGAAGGGGCATTCTTAATTCACTCATGGAGAAAAGATTCATTCAGGTTTTTGGCCCTTATTGGGGCTCAATTGATCTTAAACAATTATCAATCTTTAATAAACCTTGTCTTCGGCTGAAAGAAGGTTTAGGTCAAATTCATTTGGGCAGGACCTGAAGAGTGTGTCGCTATTTTGGGGTCCCGTATCCCTAAACCTCTAAAACCTCAACAGGACCAGTGTACCTCATGGGGCTTTTGTGGGGCAAACACTTCATGGCTCTCAGAGGGCCCACGGGGGTGAGGGTCAGTTGAGGCCTCTCGGCCCCTCCCCCAACATTCTGTTCTTGCACCACAGAGGCTCAGGCCTGTGATTGGCCAGGGCAGTGTTCAATTGGAATCCCTTCTAGGCTTCTAGCTCATACTGGAGGACGATGGCGACTGGGATGGTTGGGCAGATTGTGCTCTTGTCTCTCCTGTGGACTGGGGGGGCCGATGCTCAGAATACATGCTCGTATGTGGAGACACAGGGAGGGGGGAGCCATGGACAGGCCCCTCCTCCTCCTTTCCCTACCAGGGGAGGGTGGGGGCCAAGGTCTGTGACCCTTTCCTGGTCACCTCATATCTCTTCTCCCACCAGGGGTCTTTGTGGACAGAGGCCAATGGTCAACGCGGCTGGCACTCGGATCGTTGGGGGTGCGGACGCGAGCCGAGGGGCTTGGCCCTGGATAGTCAGTATACAGGTACAGTATTGGAATGGTGATTACAAGTACCACATGTGTGGCGGCTCCCTCATCGCTCCGAGTTGGGTTCTCACCGCTGCTCACTGCTTTGGAGATCAAGCCAAGTGAGTGAACTGGGGCTGAGGGGTGGGTGGGGTGGGCAAGAGAGGTCCCCCTCCTGGGGGGGGTCTCTCTCTTTTTCTGTCTGTCTGTCTATCTCTGGGGGAGCCCTGCCTGGGCATCCCCTTGTTAAGGGGTCCTGGTTTCTCTCTCTCTTCTCTCTCTCTCTCTCTCCCTCCTTTCCTCTTTTCTGTTCCCTCTCATCTCCCCTTCTCTGCCTTCCCTCCCTCCCTCCCTCACTGCCCTGCCTGAGGTGACTCTGGGTCCTCACTGATTTTTTCCCCAGTAACTATGATCTCTGGCGGTTTTTGATTGCTGCATGGGATATTCAGATCGGGTGGGTCTACGGCGCCTTGGACTCTCGAGTGCAGGAGCGAAAACCTATCAAGATTATCCTACATGAACATTATAATAAGCAATTTATGAAAAACGACATTGCATTGGTCCAGCTGGACAGACCCATAGTGTGTGGGGACCTGGTGCGCATTGCCTGCCTGCCTCGGGCTAGCGAGCCCCTATTCACGTCTAAGGAGAAGTGTGCTATTGCTGGCTGGGGGTTCAAAGTGGAAGGTATAGGTAAGCCTGCAATGGGGCATTGGCGAAGTTGAGGGGATCATGGCAGCTACAAAGTGGGGCTTCAGGGGCCATAAGAATGATGGGGATCATGGGGCAGCATGGAAGGTGATGGTAGGTAACCACAGGGGACCTCTGGGGTCATGGGGATGCAGGGTGACTCCACAGCCATAAGTGTTGACTCTTTGGGTCTGGGCCAGCTTCCCTGGCAATCTTTGCTTGTGGACTTAGTGCCCACAAGCTTGTTTATTCGCTTCCACAACATGGAGCCATCTTTCCTGAGAGACCCATCCTCAAACACTGCGTCTTGGTTTTTCCTCTTCAAAGCATTTGCTGTAAACTCAGGGGGTAGACAACAGACCCCCTTACCATAGTGCTCTTGTCAAAGCCTGCCCTGCAATCAGAAGACCCTAACGCTTGAGTTATCCAAGGTAGAATAGACATATGGCTGTCTGTCAGTTCCAACTCCACCCCCATCCCTACCATTCCTTATCATTCACATCTATATAGTACTACGGTTGGCTCTAGAGCTCTCCATAGCATTGGAGACAGCCAGCTCAATGGATTGGCATCCCAGAAACCTGCCCTGGAGTCCCAGCTTTGCCCCTGCCTCCCTGGGTGGCCTGGGATAGTCTCAATTCCATCATCCCATGGGTGGGCTCTCTTCCCCCACTGTGGGGTATCTGCATATCTGAGAAGCCTGCCTTCCACACCTTCACCCAAGGGCAACCACATATCCCTGGAGTTCTCCACAGGAGACCTCCTTCCACATGAACATGAATCCATTCATGAGGCCACTCAGTCAGGTTAGAGCCTGTATAATGGAACTGCCAGTGCGATTATATCTCTCCAGCTTGTCCAGAAGGATGGTCTGCAGTCCTTTGCAAATGTTTCATGAAATCTCCTGATCTGCCTGTCTTGTAATCCCGTCAACAAAGGAAGCAAAGCTAATTTGTCATGACATATTTTGTTATCTTTATAATATTTTATTTTCCCCCAGTTGCATGTAAAAACAATTTTTAACATTCATTGTTTTTTTTTTAAATTTTGAATTCCAAATTTGATCCCTCCTTCCCTCATGTACCCCCTTTCTGAGACAGTAAACAATCTGATATAGGTTATACATGTAAGTAAAATTTTACATGTAATCTTGTAAATCATTTCCATATTAGTCATTTTGTGCAAGAAGACTTGAAGAGAAAGAAAGAAAGTAGGAAGGAAAGAAGGAAAGACAGGAAGGAAGAAAAAGAAAGAAGGAAGAGAGGAAGGAAAGGAAGAAAGAAGAAAGAGAGAGAGAAAGAAAGGAATATAATATGCTTCAGTCTATATTCAGACAACCTAAGTTCTTTTTCTGGAGGCAGATAGCATGTTTCATCATCAGTCCTTTGGGACTGTCTTGCTGACAACAGCTAAGTCATTCTCAGTGGTTCATCATACAATATTGCTGTTGCTGTACACAGTGTTCTCCTGATTCTGCTCACTTCACTCTGCATCCATTCATGTAAGTCTTTCCAGGTTTTTCTGAAATCATGCTGCTTGGTCATGACTTGTACTTGATGAAAGCATGCCTGCCCTCAATGGTTTCTGCTTTTCTTTCTAACCACGAATGAACCAACCCTCTAATAACATACATGTTCAAGACTTCTCTAAGAATTTGGTGTCCAGCCTGCTGCCCTGCACCAGCAACAATTTCTGGCCCAGGTGCACCTCCTCTTGTCATGTCTAAGGGCATTGTACTGAGGACGATTTGTGCAAATGTCTGTTGGAAGAAGGAATGTTTTTGCAGATGACTTCGTGTAGCAGTCAACACGTTGACAGTAACTGATCTGTCTAAGGTATAAAGACCAGAAGATTCTGCTGTGTCCATTGTTTATGGATTAAAGGACAATTAGGCAGCAGGATTAAAGAGAAGAGAGATTCTCTAGGGGTAGGGGGGCTCTCCAAATGCTGCTTTTTTGAGAAGGTGTTATTAAATTGTAACACAAAACCTCCTGAATGAAATGTCATTGTTGTTGGGTTATTTTTCAGTTATGTCTGACTCTTTGTGACCCCATTTGGGGTTTTCTCAGCAAAGACACCGGAGTGGTTTGCCATTTCACATGGAAAGAAATCCATAGTCATTTAGAAGAGATTGGCCCAATCTTCTAGTAGGAAACACAAAGTGGATGGTAAGTGCATGACGCCCAGGTTACACTATGTAGGTGGATGGACAGCCCATGCAAACAGTTCATCAGTAGCCATATCTTGGATAGGCACATCAGGGCAACACTGAAGCAAGCCCAGAATCCAAAAGGAGTTGGTTGCCCCATATCAAGTTTAGGAGATTCTGCAGCACTTTTCAATGATGCCAAGCTCACAGCCACAGAAAATGGCTTCCTAAGCTCCATATTCTCCACATATTCTTATTTTATGGAAAAAAATGGACAGTCTCAGAAAAATCCAAACACCAAGTGACACCATGCAATGGCAAGCTGCAAACCCATGTCACCATGTTGGGTGTGAGGAGCGTAAGCGACAGCGTGCCTGCTGGGGCCTGCTGGGCAAGGGGCAAGCATGAAGAGAAGTCAGCCAGCCAGCCAAGGGTCTGTGTGCCGATGCAGCATGAGAAGAAGCCAAGGAAGACCCCCCGGCAGCTTGGCAGGATGAAAAGGTGGAGTGGTAGCCAATATGGATGGGCTCCATCTTTGGAGGGAACAGTGGTGTGCTCCAAGGAAATTGGGTTCTATCAATAGATGTAGTTGAGAGAACTCCTCAGGAACTCCTAATGACAAGTCCCTCTACTCTCTGGACAATGACTGGTGGGCGATGGACACTGCCATAGGCAGCCTTGCAGGAGTATGACCATGCCCGCTGAGGTCAGGCCTCGGTGGGCACACAGCTGCCCCCAGAATGCTGAGGGGCCATTGGACAGCCCTTCCTAGCTGCTCTTGAGTCCCACCAGCTGCCTTTGGCATCCCGGCTGCCCAGGCTCAGGTTTTGCTCCTGGACCGGAAGGTTTTCCCGCCTCCCCTTCACTCCTAGAGCTGCTCTCTCCTTCCTCAACAGGAAGAGCTTCCTGATCCAGTTAGCTCTAAGCCCCAGAACTGCCTTGTGTTACTTCCCCCTCTTTGAGACCATGTACTCTGTGACCACACTGTCCCCCTACCCTCAACAAATGGAATTTGCCTGAGGTCAGGGACCACTCTCTGAAGTCCAGAGTATAGATTCTTCATCACTGTTTGTTGACTGGCTGAGTGCAAGCCCATGTCCTTCTGGAACAACATATTCCAAGCTCTCTGTCCTTTTATAGGTGTGGCTGCTAAATTGTGTGCGATCCTGACTGTGGCTCCTTGGTACTCAAATGCTTTCTTTTTGGCTGCTTGCAGTGTTTTTTCTTTGACCTAGAAGCTCTGGCTTCTGGCTGTGATGTTCCAGGGAGTTTTCATTTTGGGTTTCTTTCAGAAGGTGACTGATGGATTTTTTTCTACTTCACTTTGTCCTCTGGTTCTAGGAGATCTGGGCCATTTTCTTTTAAGATTTCTTGAAATCATATATCTATACTCTTTCATCAGGGCTTTCAAGTTGTCTGATAATTCTTGAATTTTTTCCTATCTGTTTTCCGAGTCAGTTGTTTTTGTTATGAGATAACCTTATATTTTCTTCTATTTTTTCCAGTCTTTTGACTTTGATTTAATATTTCTTGCCCCACAGAATCATTAGATTCTATTTGATCCATTCTAATTTTTAAGGAGTTTATTGTTTGGACAAGATTTTGTACATCTTGTGCTAAGCTGTTAATTTCCTTGCTAGTTTTTTTGTCCATAGCTCTCATTTCTCTTCCACTTTTTTTCTTCTAGTGCTCTAATTTCACTTAAAAAAAATTTTTAAAAAAATAATGTTTCCTCTCTTCCAGGAATTCTACTGACTTTGTGCCCAGGCTCTGTTTTCCTCTGAGGTCTTGCTTGAAGTCACTTTTTGCTTCTGAATTTGTGTTTTGAGCGTCCCTGGCACCACAATGGGTGGGATTTGGTTTTTGTTTGCTGATCCTTTCAGCCTACTTCTTAGCTTCAGACTTTGTTAGGGCCAGGCTCTGTGTACTTCCGGAGGGAATGTCTGGCCTGGACCTGCTTTTGCTTTCTTGGGTATCTTTGAAGTTCCAATCTTGATGTATATTGAGTGTTGTGTTATTTCAAAATTTCAGGGCAGCCTGCAAGTTTTTAGTGATCCCAAAGTCCTGTCTCTACCACGAAAGTGGCAAAAATCCATTGATGAGCAAGCACATATTTCCCTTTTTCCAGGAATCTTGTATGATTTTTCACTTGTGCCTGGGAGCCTACTATAGGGTATATCTGGAGCCAGCAAACAGCACGGTGGGATCTCTTGCACCTTTCAGGACCCAGCTTCTCAACTACACATTGGATCCACTTAGCATCTGTGGCTTTAGTTAGGCAGTCATTGATAAAAATGCAGATCTGAACAGAGCCAAGGATGGAGCCCCGAGGCCCTCCACTAGAGACCTCCTCCTGCTTGGCCCTGGACAGTTCTGCCCACATCTGTCTGTGCTCCTGGGCTCTGGGAGTCTCTTGTGGGAGAGGCTCCCTGAGCTCACACTCTGCCCTCCATTCTCCAGGATTGTGTGAGCCTGGTGCACCTCACAGTTTGCTCAGGGGTCTTTCCAACTCTGTAACCCTTCAGGGTGGGGCATCTCCCCCTTCCACCTGTCTCCTTCCCCCATTCTATAACCCCCAGGCATACCTCCCACTTCTACGCATTGACACTGGACTCCTGGGATGCCTTCTTGGGGGGCAGGGGAAGGTCTGAGGGCAGATGCCCTCTGTTTTCAGTCCTGGGGAGGGGTGGGAAGCCTGATGTTTGTCAGTAGCAGCAGCTGCCCCTGGGCTGGGCTTAGTGAAGGAAGCGGGGAGGGCCTCTGGGGCTGGTGGGATATACCTGGGTCACAGCAGTTTACATCAGGTGGGGAGAGATTTGCCCTGGTCAAATGGGCTGGCAGGGACCTGGGCAGGCAGCTGGCTGACCCCAGACTTCTGGCTGTGACAGGTACCCCATCTAAGATACTACAGGAAGCTGAGGTTAACATGATCGATTCGAGGACGTGCAACGGAACCCACTGGTACTACGGGGCCATTCACACAAACAACCTTTGTGCTGGCTACGTAGAGGGAAAGATCGACACTTGCCAGGTAACCTGGCCTACACACCCCAGAGGACCCTACATCTTCCTGGACTCCCCTCAGGGTCTCATGCTGGCCCCCCCTACCATCCCCCTCCCTCTTAATGTACCCCAGCCCCCTGCTCCCCCCAGGCCAGGCCACCCTGACCACGTGCCCCTTGTGTCTAGGGGGACAGCGGTGGGCCACTCATGTGTAAAGACCCGTACAGCAGCACCTACGTAGTGGTCGGCATCACGAGCTGGGGATCTGGCTGTGCCCATGCCTATCGGCCAGGCATCTACACGTCCACCTGGCACTTTCTGGACTGGATCTCCTCCAAGGTTGGGTCGGACACTGTCTATGCTCAGCTACCTTCTCGGCCTAAGATCACTCGACCTCCTACAAAGGCGAGACCTCCCTTTCCCTGGGTATGGACCCCCTGGTGGATAAAGTCCTCTGCCCCCCAGATGTGGCTCCCTCCTCCCAGGGACGCTTCTGAGACGTGGCCCGAGAATGAGCCCTGGCCTCCAAGCGGTTCCTTAACTGGTTCCCCTGGGTACCCCAACCCTGGGATAGCCAAGGCCCAAGCTCTGGGCCCCAGCCAGGCCTTGCCTCTCACACTCTCCTTCCCAAAGCGCTTGAGGTTGCTCATGGACACCATGAAGAGCAATAAGATCAAGTAGAGCTCAGTCCGGAGAGTGCTGTCCACAGGCGGGTCGGGCGCCTGGCTGTGCCTGGCCTTTTGTCCTGGGAATGAGTCAATAAAGTTGTATGTGAAGCTGGGCCTGCCTGCTCCCTCTGTCCTCCCAGTCCCCCTCCTCATCCTACACGGCGGTGGGTGGTTCGCGGTGGGTGGGGGAACCACCCGGAGGGGCTCAGGGCCCGAGGGGGGCCAGCAGAAGCTTCCCTTTGTCACACAGCCGATCCGCACCATAGATAGCCTCCTTTGGCAAGCGGCCTCTGCCCCCCCAAATCCTCCTCTGCCAGATTCTTGGGGAGCCTTTCAGCCTAGGGCTGAAGCAGGACAGAAGTGAGGAGGCTTTAGGGAATGAAGGTGAGTAAACCCGATTTGGGCTTCAGCTCGAGGGACATCTGCCCCTTGTGTCACAGGCTCAGACTCTTTCCACCTTGTCTCTGCTGCCAGGGACTTCACTTCCTGGGCCTCAGGTTCCTCATGTAGCAGAGGGTTGGTGCAGGGCTGGGCTAGATCATCTCTAAGTAAGTCCCCTTCAGCTTGAAATTCATGATTGGACGAGGCAGGATGCCCATCCAGGCCAGCCCACTGAGCCCTGTGACCCCCTCCCCTGCCCCTCTCCAGCCTCTGCCCTGATCCTTCATGGCTTTGGGTGGACCAGACATGCCCAGCTCCCTCCAGAGGTCTCCGAAGCCAGCCAGCCCCTCAGTGATGGAGGAACCTCAGAAGAGGGTCCTCACAGGAGGTCTGCAAGGTCCTCAGATGGGGCTTCAGTGCTCAGGAAGCTGTCTTTTTTTTGTTTTGTTTGTTTGTTTTCTTTTCTTTTTAAATTAATTTATTTTGAATTGTGAACAATCACTTCCATAAGCTTTTGAGTTTTAAATTTTTCTCCCCCTCCCTCCCCAAGACGGTGCCACAATCTGATGTAGGCTACACATATATATTCCTATTAAACATCTTTTCACATTAGTGATGTTGTAAGAATTAGAGCCAATAGGAGGAACCACCAGAAAGAGAAAACAAAACTCAACAGAAGAGGAAAACAGCAAACAGTCTGTTTCGATCTGCACTCAAACTCCATAATTCTTTCTTTGGATTTTCCATCACGAAGCCTTTGGAGATGTCTTAGATCCTTGTATTGCTAGGAAGGGCTGAGTCTATCAATATTAGTCATCGCACAACGTGGCTGTTACCGTGTACGACATTCTCCTGGTTCTGCTCACTTCACTCAGCATCAGTCCATACAAGTCCTGCCAGGTTTTTCTAAAGTCCTCTAAAAGATAATGCTCATCATTTCTTATAGCACAATAGTATTCTATTCCATTCCATTGTTCAGTCATTCCCCAATTGATGGGCAGAGGACGCCTAGTTTAACCCACTGCATGACAACCCTGGGGCCTCTGACTTTCCCCCTCAGCCCAGGCTTCCTTTCCTGGTTGTTCATCTTGGTTTCCTGTACCTGAGCCTCCAGTGTTCTCTCCCTCCTGGTCACTTGTCTCTGGACACCCCCCCCCCAGGTCATCCAACGTCCTTCCCAAAGGATGGCATTCCAATTGCTCACTACCCAAGACGGCCCCACAATGGCCCCTCTCCCTCTGGATCCCTGCCCTCTTAGAATGGAGCTCTCCACAGCTTTTGCGGGGCTTGCCAAGGGACACTGTTGACCCATGGTGACCTTGCAACCTCCAGGCCTTCCCCGTCTCCTGTTGATGGAGCTGATTTTTCCAACCTAGGAGAGTAAGAACCTGGTATAGGCTTCTCTAGTCAGGAAATAACCAGACAGGCATCGTCACGCCACCCGGCTGGTCAGTGGCAGTGGGTGTAGAGTCAGGATGGCCACAGAATACCACAGACTTTGGAGCTGGAAGGGACTGGCTTCTTTGGAATCCAGAGTCACCTCCTCCAGCCACTCCTCAAAGGACTCTCCTGCCCCCACACGCCTCGCAGGGGTGTCCAATCTCTCCTTCAGAGCCGGGGGCGGGGCACGGGGAGGCACCTCTGTGCTCATGTCAGCACTTTTGTTCTGCCGTGCCTGCCCTCACTGCTCCTGCACCTAAGAGCTCCGCAGATCCGCAGAGATGGAGCGCCATCCTAGTCTAAGGGGCCACATGTGTCCGTTAGCAGGAGATCAGGGTCCATGTCCAGCAGACAAGGGCTGGAGGGCCTGCCAAGAGAGCCCCGCAGAGATGCTCTGGCCCACTCCTGCTTGTCCAGCCTCCCTCTCTTCAATCAGCACTTATGCTGTAGGTCCTCGACACTGGAAAAGGGGATTACTTGTCCCATGATGGGGACCAGGGGCTGGCTGCCCACTCCCCCAAGACCTCTATTAAAGTAGCTGGTGCTTGAGGCACCTCCTGCGGGGCCAGACTCCCCTTCTGACAGGGAAGTCTGATTCTTGTTCTTCCTTTATCAGCGTCTTTTCGCTATTGTTAATTTTCTCTTCCTAGCTTTTTTTTGGGGGGGAGGGGGCAGAGTTTCCTGATGCCATTTGCCCCTGGGAGAAATGAGTCACCCTCGTCTCCACTCTCCACTTGGCATCTGAGGCTCGTGGAGACTAGAGGGCCCCTTCCTACCTTTCGAGGCTCTTTACACCCTCCTCTGCATCCAGAAGTGTGGGGGCCTCCCCACTCGCCCCTCTCAGAATCACTCCACCTCCAGCCAGCGGCCAGCGCCTTCCCCTCAGACTCTGCATGGATCGTAGATGTGCCTGCTCTTTAAGCGTGGTCTCTCTGTATGGGCGTGAGCCCTTCCGGGGAAGCGCCTCTTCTTACCTTTCTTTAAGAAAGGGCCTACTAAGCACAGCATCCTGCTTGGAGAGAAAAGCCAGGGTCCATCCAGGAAGGGAGGGACTCGAGAGTGAGTCCCAACCATAGGGTGCTATGCGTCCCGGAGACTGGGCCGACCCCGTGGGAGGACGAGGAAGCCAAGCCAAAGGTCACAAGGTGGCCCGATGTCCACTCGAGCCAGCACTTTGTGTTCTATGGGGCCATATGCGCCTTCTGTACTCCCGGCAAGGGTGAAATCAAGGCTGTCCCATGCCCTGTGCTCACACTGTTAATCTGAGGGCTTGCATCACAGCTGCCTACCTCATTACTCCTCTGGGACCTGAGCCATTAGCCCATGAGGATAGACAGGAAAATTCCTGGAGGAACCCCCAGAGACGGAGCACCAAAGGAAGACCCAGGACCCCCTGGGGTGAGGCTGCAGGACTGAGCCCCCCACAGGCACCTGGGGAACCCTGGGGCCTGGGCAGAGCTCCCACCCATAAGCATCAGCGCCTGTGGTTATCTCCTCCCCAGACCGCGGCAATTCCGCAAACGTGGTGTCTTTCCTGACTGGTCGCGGGTCTTCTAAACATCCGTCAAACATCCGGCCCAAGGGTCTCTCTCCAGCTCTTTGATTCGTGTATTTTTAAAATGTTTCAGCCTTGTCTCTGGCTTGGCTTCTGCTGTGTTTTGGCCGATTTTCATTCTCTGACATGGACTTGTGGCTTAGTGCAGTGCCTGCAGACCTGGTCTCCATCCAGGAGTCCTCTGCCATAACCCAGCTGTGTGACCCTGGGCAAGTCACTGCTCCACCAGACGCAGAGAAGGTGACAACTTCCTGGCAGAGGGATCTCCACCCCAGTGAAATCCCAGGTCTGGGAAGCCCAGCTCCCTTCAGGCCTGGGACGTTCTCTCACCAGGTCCTCACACAGGCGGGTCTCCATTTCCAGAGAATCACCTGAAGCACTTGGTGACTGCAGGCGCTCTTTCTCTGCCATGCCTCTGGCCTCCCTTTGCGGAGCCCCACAGCTAAAGAACATTCCTCTTGTTCCTGCCTGCCTGCCCAAGAGGGAATCAGGGCCATCCGACAAGACCCAATGGCCATTCTCACCCCCATCCTGCTCAGCCGACCCTGCGCCCACCAGAGACCTCCTTCCTAGACACCCCTTCCATCTTTTGGCTCCTCCCAGGAGACACGGCAGCCCTGAACATTCTTCTCACTCGCCCCAGACACCCTAGGTCTGGAAGCTGGGATACTCAACCAACATTAACTAAGTGCCTCCTGTGTACCAGGCCCTGGGCTGAGCGTTGCAGGCACAAAGAGGGCACCAGACAGGCCCTACCCTGGAGGATCTCCCAGCCTAACAGGACAGAAAAGAAGCAAGTCGCTCTGTGCAAAGCCAGCCGTGGACGGGATGAATCCTATCTCTGTCAACATTGCTTGGCAGCTGCTTCTCCTGTAAGGGTCCTCCTAAACGGCCTCCCTGGCTCATGTCTCCCCTCTCCCCCACGCGGCCACTCCTCCCCCATCAATAATCCAAATTCAAGCTGAAAGCCTTGATTAAAGCCTCCTTCCCTGCATGGTGCTCCCCAAACATGCATGGCTCCTGTGCCTGGACTGTCCTTCTCTTCCCAGTCCAGCTCATGTTGCCTTCTAGGCCTTTCCTGACCCATCCGGCAACTGGGGGCCTCCACAACCACCACTACCATCAGTCCTTCAGTTGCGTCTGACTCTTCATGACCCTTGAGGGCTGGAGTTTCATTTGGGTCTTAGCACAGTGCCTGGCACACAGTAGATGCTTAATAAATTCTCGATTGGCCCACCTTTTGCAGACCACAGCTCTCTGGACACCTGGGCTGGGGCCTGAGTGTGTGTACTGAGGGGAGGGAATGGCAGACCCGTACCTAGCTACTTCACAGGAAACCCTGGCTGTGGGCGAGGTGGATTTGGGGACTTTCGCTGGTCACCACCACTGACTGTTAGTCTTGGAGAAGGGAGAGAAAGAAGAGGTCCATGGGGCCACGCCCACCACAATACACCAGGCTGACCCTGCTGTCCAGGATGGAGGGGCCAGGCCTGAGTTCCAGTCATCGACCCCCAGTCTTACCCACCCACAGAGCCTGGCTATCAGCAAACAAACCTGTGGGCATCTGGAAACAGGGAGCATGTATGTGTCAAGGTAGGGGGAATCTAGGACTTTGTATGGATACAGGGTTTTTTTTTGTTGGGGGGGGAAGAAGAGTTGATCAGAAAGTTAAGAATCTGTTTACCAAGGAATAGGCCCCACGGTCAATGTTGAGAAAAAAATATTTAATTTTCTGTTCCTTGGGTGGATACATAGAATATCACCTCATTGCCCCAGTCCAAATGGAGTGGGGATGGCAGACCCCCCACTTCTTTTCCTGGGGTGTGGATGTCCGGCACTGACTCTGATCCCTGACCTGGTCTGGGATGTGTGTGGGGATGATGGGGACAGACTCTGCATCTCCAGGATGGGTCCTGTTAGGGACCCTGCTCCCTCCCTTTTGGGTTGGGGTCTCTGTGCTTCTCCTGCCATATGCCGCTGCTGGAAAAGCTGGGTACCAGTGAGGAGCAGGAGGGAGATGGCAGAGGGGGAGGCAGCAAGGTTGGGGTGGCAGGCCCCAGGCTGCTTCATGGGGTGCCGGGGTTGTGAGGAGACGGGAGGGGCAGACGAGACTCAGGGAGACGGAAGATTCCCCAGGGCTTCACTCTGCTGCTGCTCTGACCCGGACCCCACCTTCTTCTCCAGCTCAAAGTTCTGTGAGAAAAGCCGTCGGTGAGACACCTGCCTCAGACAGGTCCAAAGTCGGAGGGTGTGTAGGGGCAGGCAGGGAGGGGAGGAAAGGAGGCTCCCCCAGCCCCAGTCCCCTCCCAGCTACCCACCTCAAGCTCTTGCAAAACCTCATCCATGAAGTCTTGGGAATTCCGTTTGTAAGAAACCGCCAAACGGATGGCGTCATTGAAGAGCTGGGGGAGAAAAGAAAGAAGGTCCTCAAGGGCTGGGGTGGGCCTCCCAGAGACCCTGTGGCCCCCACCCCGGCTGTGCTCACCCATTACTCCCAGCCCAACAAACTTACCTTCACAACATTGGTGCCGTCGGCGGCCGAGACAAAGTACAGGGGCAGGGCAAACCTCCTGGCAAAGTTGAAGCTTTTCTGGGTCATGCTGGTGTCGACTGAAGAGGGAGAGAGGGTCGGCGCAGGTGGCCAAAGGAAGGGGCTCCCGGGTCAGCCCGCCCGCCTCCCCACCCCCTCACCCACCCCAAGGGCCGGCCCCCACCATCAATCTTATTGGCCACCACGAGGCAGGGAATCTCGGGGCGGAACTCTCGAAGCTCCGAATACCAGGTGGTCAGGTTCTTGTAGGTGACCTTTCTCTGCACATCGAACACCTGGGGTGAGAAGAAAGGGCCGGGCAGCTCCAAGGAGTCCCCCCTCCCCACTGCCGGAGCCCTCCAGACACAGACATGGGGGGGGGGGCGGCTGCAAATGAGCGCGACCCTGGGACCTGTTTGGCACTCGGGAGCTCCAAGCCCTTGGCTTCGAGGAGGCACCCCTCAGCAAGGCCGCAGTCTGGACGAAGCGGCAGGAAGGGCACGCCCCTATCCATCAAGCAGTCAATCGGCAAGGCAGCTTGGCGGCCTGACACTCCCCATTTCCACCCAGCTCCTACTGGGACCACGGAAGGTCAGGCTGCCCAGGCTTCCTGCCCGCCCGCTCCAGGCCCATCCTGGCTCTCTGCTCTTGTCTTCATTCCCCAAAGGGGCTCCGGGGCCGCCCTTGGTTCAACCACTGACCAGGGCTCATTCCCAGAGGTGGAATTATTCAGGGATGGACTGGCTAGTCGTGCCAGGCTCTCAATGGGACCTTGCTTCTACCCCTGGCACCAGGATGGGCATCTGTTCATCGGCTCGGTCAGCCTTTGGGGGTGCGTGGGGCCACAGAGCCCAGGCCTGAAGAGTCTCTGGTGGGAGGGCTCCTGGCAGAAATGGGCCCAAGGCGCCTGCCCCGACTCACAGAGACTCTTCTCTGGGCCGTGGGAACGCGCTAGCCCAGGTCCATGTGAATGGTTTTGCGGGGCTTTCTGGGACCCAGGCAGGCAGCACTGCCCAGCGGAGAGAGCCGTATTTGGGAGTCAGGAAGAACACCCCTGGTGAGGGCAGCCTGTGCAAAGCTGGGGAGCCTTCACCTCCCAGGGTCCTAGGCAGTGAAGCCCATCCCTTGCACAGATGGGGTGTCCTTGTGGACATCGCAGGGTGGGAGAACTGACCGAACAGACGATTACTTTCCTCCAGGCGATCCTGGGGCAGGGCCCACCCCGGGGTCCCAAGCTGTCTGAAAGCTGAACTGCTTGCTTCCAGAGCCCGAGACCCCTCCAACCACCTCCCTCGTACTCTACTCCCAACAGGAGGGCTCAGACAGCCCTTCCCTAAGGTAGGTGGGGACAGCTCCTGGCCTGGTCTGGCCTGGTCTGGCCTGGACATCCCCCTCCTCAGACTCAGTCCTTCATTGTTAAAAGCACCATTACGAAGGAACTGAGTATGTCAAAATCAAGAGGCGGCTTTTTCCCATCCAAGGCCAGACTCCCAAAATCTCTCCACAGACTGTGGATACTGGGAGACACCATCCTCTGGGAACACTGCCCTCCGCCTCCCCTGGGGGGCCAAATGTAGAAAAATGGAAGGGGGAGAGAGACAAGTTGGGGCTTTTTTCTGGGCCTCAAAGGCCACAGGTGGATGACCTCGGAGGTGGCACCACCTGCCCTTGAAGACCTCTGACTCCTGTCTGTCCCCTTGGGAGCCTCCAGGCCAGTGCCTTCCTGGGAGTGTCTGAGCTGGGAACCGAGGAGGACAGCGGCCTGGTCAGAGTGGACGGGGATGGAATGAGAGGGGCACTGGGGAGCCCAGGCCCATCAGCCTGTGACCTGTGACCTAGACTCTCAGGGCAGTGCTGGGTGCCCAGCAGGCTCTCATCCCTAGCGGCATCCAAGCCTGGTCCAACCCACTGCCTAGGTTCGGGCTGTCTGGCCTCGAGGGGATCCTTGCCCCTGCCCCAAACTCGTCCAAGCTCTGAGGGTGGTGGAGGCCATCCTGCGTGGGTGCAAGGGGGTGACCAGAGAATTCCCAGATCTGCCCAAACGCCAGGGCCCAAGAACTGGCTGGGTCTGGAGTGTGAGAGCAGGTGATGCTTGGGGGAGCAGCGACTGGGGCTCTGGGTGCAATCTTGGTGAGACTCCCTCCCCAAGAGCCAGCGGCCCAGAAGGAAGCAAGGCCACGGAGGGTCGCCAGCCATCACGGGTGCCAGGGTGGCCCACACCAACCCCAGGACCCGCTGAGTGAGCCCCTCCCCCACCTACCATGATGCAGGCGTGTGCCTTGTGGTAGTAAGAAGCGTGCATGCTCTGAAACCTCTCCTGGCCCGCCGTGTCCCAGAAATCTGCGGCAAGAGCCGGGATGTCAGGGCATGGCCCGAGCCTCAGGAACCAAGCCCTTCCCACCCCAGGGATGGGGCAGGAGTCACTGGACACGAGCACACACGTGTGCATGCATGTGTGTGCATCACACACACATGAATGTGCATGGGCAAGTATATGGGTGTGCATGCATGTACATGTGTATGTTTGTGTGCATGCACATGTGCACACAAGGGTATGAGCATTTATATGTCTCCTGTGTGTGCCTTGCATGCATGTACACGTGTTTATGTGCACACAAAGCATGAGTGTTTACATGTCTGCTGTGTGCGCCTGTGCATGCACACACACGTGTTTGTCTGCACACACATGTGCACACATGGGTATGAGTGTCCACACGTCTGCTGTGTATGCCTGTGCATACATGCACACGTTTGTCCATATACACACATGCACACACAGGCATGAGAATTTACATGCCTGCTGTGTGTGCCTGTGCATGCATGCACACTCTGTACACACACGTGCACACACAATTATGACTTTGTACACGTGTGTGCTCAGTATGAGAGTGGGCGTACGCACACACATGCCTGGGGGTTGGTGTCACCAGGTGAGAAGGATGGGGTGGGGGGCCAATAATGGGGGGGAGGTGCCGGCCTACCTCCCCACAGGAGGGCTGCCCTGGGGACCCCGCCTCACCCTTCGTGCCTTCTCCTCTGCCCAGCCCAGCTCCTTGGGAGTCCCGCGTCTTCCTGCCTCCCCCAACCCCCTCCTCACTGCCTCCAACAGGCTGGGGCGGGGCTCACAGGGACCCTGGTGAAGGCTCTGAGGATCAGGATGGGGGAGGCAAGGCTAGACGAAGGGGGCCTGTAAACAGGGGTGGGCGCGGCCCAGAAAGCGGATAAGTTCAGGCCACGGACAGGGCCCAGCGATGTCAGAGGATGGCGCCAGCGAGGACAGAAAGCCGTATCCAGCCTTTCAGGGGCCACTCTGGGCACCGGCTGGGGCCAGGGCTCCGCAGCTGCCCCAGAGTGGACCGCCCTTATTGGGACCTTTGGCCGGGGGTGGGTTCATGGCTTGGCAAGGGCGCCGGAGGCGGCAGATGAGGTGCACTTGACCGTCTCCCGCTCTACCAGCCCATCCTGGCCCTGGGCTCCCCTAGGCCCCCTTGCCCACCCTCCTTATGCTCTCCTCCTTCTCAGGTCCCGCCTGGCTCTAAGGCCCCTCCTTCCTCTGGTCCTTCCTCCCTCTCCTCCTCCCCGACCTGTCCAATGCTGCTCACCCACAAGGATGGTCTTGCCGTCGACGGTGGTCGTGTGTTTGTAGAGGGTCAGGGCATAGGTGGATAGCTGCTGGGGCCGGCTGCTCCCCCCGGGTTAAGGACAGCTCTAACAGGCAGCGGGGGATATGGGACTGGAGCCCGGGAGAGAAGGATTGGGGAGCTCCCTGCCTAGGAGACGGCAGTGGAACCCCGGGGAGCAGATGAGGTCACTGTGAGAGAGAAAGAGAGAGAGAGAGTGGGAGGGGGAGAGCGAGGGGCGGGGGGAGAGAGAGAGAGAGATAGAGAGAGAGAAGAAAGAGACAGAGACAAAGAGAGAGTGACAGAGAGACAGACAGAGGCAGAGGCTGAGGACAGGAGACAAGGACTGTTAGTGCTGCACTGGGGCTGGCCCGGCTCTCCGATGCCCCTCCTCCATCGCCAGCCCCCCGGTGACCAGAGCTGAGGTCAATCCCCTGAGGAAAAGGCGGGGGTCTCGGGGCTCAGTGACAACTGCTGACAGAGAAGGGAGGGGAACACACTTGGATGACGATTTGGCGGCTGGTGGGGGGCTCCCCAGGTGCCGCGGCCTTGAGCTCACCCTGCATTCTCAGGGCCCAGTGCTAGAACCCCTGCGGGGGTTAGCCGGCCTCACGGGGGCTCAGCTAGCAGGTCACAGGTGCTCAGAAGAGGGTGTCTGGGTCTAAGGTAAGCTGCCATCCCACTCCCCAAAGCTTCCTGTGTCCCCCCGCCGCAGCCGGGGCCGTCCCAGGGGCCGAGGGCAGGGAGGGTGCTAGAGGATACAATCCATCCATGAGGAATCTCTCCATGAGCCTGCGAGCACAAGAGAGGCTGGTGAGCAGCCCCTCCCCGGGGGGTCTGGCCACACGCCTCTGTTCCCCCCGCCCAGAGAGCCTTGTTTTCTCTCTGTTCTATATATTGGGAGCTCCTCGAGGGCCACAACCCTGGCTTAGCTCCGAGCCCCTGGTCCCCGTTCAGTGCTCTGCCATACAGAGCCTGAGCTGCCCAGGGCAGACTGCGGGCCCCTGGCAGCCGATAAACATTTATTAAGCGCCGACTGTGTGCTGGGGCTGGGAAACGGATGGCCGTGAAGGAGGCAAATCCGCTTTTCCTGGTTTGGATCTCAAAGCTCTCTCCTGCGGGGACCCTTCCCACCACTTCCTCCCCAGGCCTGCTCCTAGGTCAGGTGTCACCAAGTCCCTCCTGGAAGGCATCCACACCTCTGAGCCACGAAGACCTGAGTTCAGATCCTGCCTCAGACGTTTACTAGCTCTATGACGTTGGACAAGTGACTTGACTTCTCTGGGCCTCAGTTTCCCCATCTGTTAAATGGGGCCCACCATGGAGCCCCTATCATCGGCCCTGGGTTCAAGTCCTGCTCCACCCGTGTGGCCCGAGAAGATGGACAAGGGGGGACAGGGTCCTTCGGCCAGCGCTGGGTCAGGCATTCAGGGCTCCCCCCCAACCCCACCTGGGCTCGGCATTCAAGCTCCCCCTCAATGTTCAAGGCTTCTCCCCACCTCTGGGCCTGGCGTTCAAGGCCCCCCACCCACTGAACTTAGAGTTTGGGGCTCCCTCCACCTCTGGGCTCGGCGTTCAAGGCACGCCCCCTGGGCCCCTGAATTCAGGGTTCAAGGCCCCGCCCCCCCCACGCACTTGGACTTGCCCACGGCGCTGTCCCCGAGGCAGATGATCTTGACGTTCTCGGCCGCATCGTACTTCTCCTGGTCCAGCTCGGGCCCCGCCCCGGCCCCGGCCCCGGCCCCGGCCCCGGCCCCGGCCCCGGCAGGCTCCCCGGCCATGGCGTCCCCAGCCTTGGGCTCGGCAGCGTCAACCCCGCTGCTATGCAACGGCAGGGGCTGCCCGCGGCGGACGCCGGATGGACGCCAGGAGGCCCCCGGGGCTGTCTATGGCGCTGCCCGAAGGCCCCCGCCACCGGGTGCGCATGCGCGACTCCGAGAGGGCTGGAACGTACAGGGTCACAGGAGCACGCACGGGAGGTCGCAGGGAGCACGCACGGGAGGTCGCAGGGAGCACGCACGGGAGGTCGCAGGGACCGCGCATGGGAGGCGTAGGGTCGTAGGAGCACGCACGGGGGAGGAGCACGCACTGAGTCGTACGCACCACGGGGTGGGTCGCTAAAGACCCTGGGTTGCGAAGGGACGCACGAGCACGCCCCGCCGCCTGGTGCGTGTCCCGGCCGTGCTCCCCTCAGCGCCGCCGGGAGGATGGCTCCCCTCAGCGCCGCCGGGAGGATGGCTGCGCTGGGGCGCGGGGGTCCCAGCCTGCTCCAGCTCACCCTGGCTCTGATCAAGCCGGACGCCGTGGCCCATCCCCTGATCCTGGAGGTTAGGGCGGCGGCGGACCCAGACAGGGAGAATGGGGGGAACAATCGGGGAGGGCCGCCCGGCGGGCGTAGAGCCTTGAAGGCCGTCCGCGGCACAGCACTTTGATGTCGTAGGCAGTAGGGAGCCATTGAAAACGTGAGAGCGGGAGAGGCCGGCAGCGGCCTGCCGTGGGGTTAGGAGCACGGGGGGCGGTGGCTCCTGCTGCGGAGGCTGGAGCGGGTCGTGGCCTTCCCTGTGTCGGCGGGGGAGGGGAGGGCAGGGCCGAGGGCCTTTTTCCTGCCCTAGTAAGCGGAGTGACATGGCCAGGGTTAGCTTTGGCTGTCCCCCTCCGGGGGACGGCCGCCATGCCACCCAGTTGTACAGACGTGGAAACTGAGGCAGCGGGTGCGGGGACTCGCCAGGGTGGCCTCGCTGGGAAGTGTCCGAGGCCGCATTTGAAGCAAGTCCAGCCCGGGCGGTCCTAGACTAGAAGCTCCCTGGGGGCAAAGACGGTTTCCTTGGTTTGGTTTTTGTGTGCCTCTATGTAGAAGGCACCTACTAAGTGCTCGCTAAGGCAGAGTGAATGGAGCACCACCTGCGAAAGCCCCATGTCCGACAGCTCTTGGGATGGGGAAAACAAGTCAGGCTTCAAGGAGGACCACTGAGTGTGCAAACAGTAAGCACCTACTGTGTGCCAGGCGCAGTGCTGGGGGTGCAAGAGAGGCCAGAGACAGTCCCTGCCCTCAGGTAATGAGGGTCTGTTAGGGGAGAGAATGCTTGGCAGATGCTTAGCACACAGTAGGTGCTTCTGAAATACTTCCTCGGCCTGTTTTGAGCTGAGCTGTGTAGGCAGAGGATTCCTGTGGACCTTGGCTGCTCTCTTCCTCTTGGGGTCCTGGCTGGGGCTGGGGGGCCCCTGGACCCCACCTCTGACTTCTTGGCGGGGGGAGGGGGGGCTTCCAGGCCATTCATCAGCAGATCCTGAGCAACCAGCTCCTTATCGTGCGCACGCGAGACCTGGTCTGGAGGCGGGAGGATTGCCAGCAGTTTTACCAGGAGCATGCAGGTGGGTGCAGCCCTGAGCCCTTCCAGGGAAGGAGAGTGAGTGGCACGTGTCCCACAGGATACGAGTCATGTCTGTTTGTCTGTCTCTCTCCAATAGGGCGTTTTTTCTACCAGCGCTTGGTGGAGTTCATGGCCAGGTATCCCTGCTTCTCCCGGGGAGGGGACTCACATGAGGCACCCCTCCCCCCACCCCAACTGCCGGCCCAAGTGGAGAGTTGGTGGGGAGAGCACCGGATGACCATGGGTCACCTCCTGTCCTCCTCTCCTCCTCCCCAGTGGCCCAATCCGGGCCTACATCCTGGCTCACAAGGACGCTGTCCAGCTCTGGAGGACCCTCATGGGGCCAACTAGGGTGTTCCGAGCTCGCCACGTGGCCCCCGACTCTATCCGCGGGAGCTTTGGCCTCACGGACACACGCAATACCACCCATGGCTCAGGTGAGCGGGCGGGGTGGGCGGCAGGGGGCTGGCAGGGCTGGGGCCCGGCGGCCCCTGCCCTCCCTGGGAGGACTGACCCCTGCCCTTCTGTCTCTCTCTCTCACTCTCCCTCTCTCATTCTCTCTCTCCTCTCTCCTGTCTCATTCTCTCTCTCTTCTCTCGTTCTCTCTCTCCTCTCTCTTTTTCTCTCTCCTCTCTCTTTTTCTCTGTCTCCTCTCTCTGTCTCTTCTCTCTCTCTCATTCTCTCTCTCCTCTCTCCTCTCTCTCATTCTCTCTCTCCTCTCTCTTTTTCTCTCTCTCTCCTCCTCTCTCTCTCATTCTCTCCTCTCGCATTCTCTCTCTCCTCTCTTTCTCTCTCCTTTCTCTTTTTCTCTCTCTCTCCTCTCTCTCTCTGTCTCTTCTCTCTCTCTCCTCTCTCTCTCATTCTCTCTCTCCTCTCTCATTCTCTCTCTCCTCTCTCTTCTTCTCTCTCCTCTCTCTTTTTCTCTCTCTCCTCTCTGTCTCTTCTCTCTCTCCTCTCTCCTCTCTCTCATTCTCTCTCCTCTCTCATTCTCTCTCTCCTCTCTCTCTCTGTCTCTTCTCTCTCTTCTCTCTCATTCTCTCTCTCCTCTCTCTTTTTCTCTCTCTCTCCTCTCTCTCTCATTCTCTCTTCTCTCTCATTCTCTCTCCTCTCTCTGTCTCTTCTCTCTCTTCTCTCTCCTCTCTCTCATTCTCTCTCTCCTCTCTCTTCTTCTCTCTCCTCTCTCTTTTTCTCTCTCTCTCCTCTCTCTCTCATTCTCTCTCTCCTCTCTCTTTCTCTCTCTCTCTCTCCCTCCCCCTCCTCCCCTCCCCTTCCCTCTCCCTGTCTCCCCCAGACTCAGTGGTGTCTGCCCGGAGAGAGATTGCGGCCTTCTTCCCTGATTTCAGCGAGCGCCACTGGTACGCAGAGGAGGAGCCCAGGCTGCGCTCGGGTCCTGTGTACTATGATGCAGAGGGAGGCGTTCACTGTGTGGCCAGAGGAGGGGAGGCCTCGGGTGGCCTGGAGCCTCCATCCTGAGGCGAACGAGAGCTGGGTCTCCTCCTTATCAGTGCTTCCCGGGGACGAGAGACAGGGGCTGGGTCGAAGGCGTCCCTGTCGATGAACTTGCCTGAACCTCAGTCTCCCCTTCTGCGAAATGGGGAGCGTGGTCCAGCCTAGCAGGGCTGTTGGGAGGAGGAGCGAGATCACATGGCTGCGGAAACGTCCAGCCTGACCCTGGCTGCAGACATGCCCCTTCCTTCTTCTCTCTCACTGTCCCCCATCGCCCCCCGCTGGGCTCCCGGGGCGGGGGAGCGGCTCCCCGCTGTGCCATTCGTGTCTCCAGCCCAGCCGCCCTGGCCGTGGCTACCCACGGACCTCGCAGGTCATCAGCCCCTTCTCTCCACCTTAGCCCCTGTGGCTTCGACCTCGTTAGCGACAGAGATGACCCTTCCCCCTCAATCCTGAATGCCAGGAAGTCCTTCTCAGACCCTCACATCCTGCCCTTCTCGATCCCCTGCCCCAGGCTGTCCAGCACAGGAATTTAGAGCTGGCCAGGACCATGGGCCGCTGCCTCTGTTGGACCTCCATCTGGGGAAGGTCCCCCCTGGGGCCGCCCTCCCCTGAAGGAGAGCCCTCCTATGATGGGAAGGACCCTGCCCCAGCCTGGCTGCCTTGGTGTGGGTCCTCAAGCTGAGCCCCACGGCCTTCCTCCCGACGGGCTCAGCGTGGAGCAGCTCCTGCCCGCCCCTTCCTGAAGCTCACAGCCCGAGAGAACGCCCAGATCTTTTCTGGTCATCTTGGTTCTGTCCTAAGAGTGGAGCAGCCCCCCACGCCCCATTTCCAGTGGGGACCCCGTAGTCTGAGGCCCCCACTGTTGGCAGGCTCCTAGGATGTCCTGCATGGTCACCCGCCTGCCTTGTGTGGCTTGGGCTCCCGCCCCCTTGTCTGTACGGGCCAACGTTTCTTTTCGGTCTCCCCTCCAGCACTGGCTCCACTTGCCTCCCCAAATACCAATGTAGCTGTCTGTTGGCCTCTGGTCCCCCGTCGTAGGCCCATCCCTGAGGACCGGAGTCCTGCTGGGGGAGGCTGGGACGTGTGGACCTTCAGGTTCTGGGGTCACCCAAGCACACAGCTCTGGTCTCAGTTTCCTCCCAGCCCCGATTCTTGATGCCTTCCCAGGCGTGGATAGAAGCCTAGTACAAGTGCTTTGTGGACTGCTGTTGTCCTTTGGACGGTCCTGAGCAGCTTGAGGCCCAGCGGTCAGACGGTAATGAACTTGGGAGTGGGGGGGAGTGGCGCGCTTGGCTGTCCCGGCTGCCTCTCTGTGTCAGCCCCGCCTTTGTCCCCTGGAGGAGGCCATGTGAGCCCGGGCAGGATGGCACCGGCTGGTTCTGGGAGCGGGTGCAGGAAAAGGAACAGAGGCTTTTCTGGGTGTCCACGGAGCCCTGACGGACCTGGGCTCTGAACCGAGCAGGGGGCTGGCTCCGTGTTCCACAAAGTCTCTGAATGGAAGAACTCTTTCTTAGAGCTCTGGTGCCCTGAGGAGCACTGAGTGACATCTCCACAGAGACTTGTGAAGAGAATTTGTCATCTTGGGAAAGAGTTACTGAGCAGGCCTGGCCCCCAGACCCCAAGGCATCTTTGGCCAGGTGTTCTAGTGAGGTTGCTGAGACAGGATGGGGAGCAGCTGATTTCCTGGGTTCAGATAATGGTGATTGACAAGTTTTCAAGACTGAATTTGACAGGAAGTTTCACAAAGCATGAACGTTAAGTTCTGAATGTGGTTTGGAGGAATAAAATGTCACAGTGGTCCATGTGCATTTATTAAGTGCCTACTGTATTTCTGGGCCCTGGGCTGAATGCTGGGGATGCAAACAAGCTGGCTGAATGGGGGTGATCTCAGAGAGAAGGCATTGAGCTTCAGGACCCGAAAGGCTTGCAGAGGGTGGGAGTCTGGTTGTGACGTGGGTGAGTGGTCAGAGGGGAGGAGGAGGAGCATTGGGAGAGGCCTGTTGGGGAAACGCCTGGCCGGGCTCACTGAAGTGAAGAGTCCCTGATGGGGGAGGGGGCAGGGGAGGAAGAGAGCCTTTCGTCCCAGATCCAGGGGCGGTTCACCACGTGGGGGCGAAGGGTCAGGTGGGCGTTCTGGGTGACAAGTCAATCTGACACCACGTCACCCAGAACGTGTGTGTGCGCAGGCGGCCTGCCAGAGCCGGCTGGGTCACCCCGGCGCCCGTACCCTCAAGTGAACATGGCCTGCCCTTGGTCCCCAGAGGGCAGAGAGCGAGGATAGTGGCAGTTAGAGACTCTGCTAACAGTGACAGCTGTCCCCACACGGGAAGGGCTTCCCTGGAAGTAAGAATCGGGGCACTCAACACGGAGCCATGAAGACCTGGGTCCGCATCCTTTCTCAGAGGCTACATGACCCTGAGCAGCTCTGCAGCTCTGTGCCTCAGTCTCCTCATCTGTAAAACGAATAGAGTAGCCACATTTCAGGTCACCTTCATAGCGTGCTAGGGCCTCCCTGCTGTCATGAGGGGACTTCCACCATGGGGCACCATCCCGGATGGAGACCACCCCTCTCAAGACACTCAGGAAAGCTGTTGGCCACCAGCTCCAAGGCACAGCTCCCCTTTTTTCCCTGCCCCGGAGCCCACGATCAGATCAGCTCTTCTTGTTCCTGAGTGGGGTGTGTCTGTGGCCCCACTCAGCACCCTGGACCTCTGGGCACCATCCCTCTGTGTGGTGGTTCCTGTTAGAGCAGTGCATGGTGCTGGGCACGTGGCATGAGCTCAGTAACCCTTTGTTCATTCACTGACCTCAGGTCCCTTCCAGTTCTTTTTCTTTTTTTTAATTTATTTTGATTTATCAATGATTACTTCCATAAGTTTTTGAGTTTTAAACTTTTCTCCCCCTCCCTCCCCGCCTCCCTCCCCAAGACGGCACGCAATCTGATGTAGGCTGTACATTTACATTCCTATTAAACATATTTTCGCATTAGCGATGTTGTAAGGAAGAATTAGAAGCAATAGGAGGAACCCCCAGAAAGAGGAAACAAAACTCAACAGAAGAGGAAAATAGCAAACATTCTGCTTCGATCTGCATTCAGACTCCATGGTTCTTTCTCTAGATGTGGATAGCATTTTCCATCATGAGGCCTTTGGAGATGTCTTAGATCCTTGCATTGCTGAGAAGGGCTGAGTCTATTAATGTTAGTCATTGCACAACGTGGCTGTTACCGTATACAATGTTCTGGTTCTGCTCACTTCACTCAGCATCAGTCCATTCAAGTCTTTCCAGGTTTTTCGGTTGTTGCCTGTTCATCATTTCTTGTAGTACAGTAGTATTCCATTACATTCATATAGCACAGTTTGCTTTCCAGTTCTAAATCTGTGACTGCCAGCATCCCTGCACCGGTATTGCTTAAGATGAGTCTGGATGCTAGCCTGCCAGGGCCATTGGCCACAAACATGCTGGCTGAGTGGGTGGTGGAGCCCGATGCCCTCTGAAGTCCTTTTGAGCTCCAGGGGTCTAGGGTCCCTCCAGAGGGCAGTGAGTGTGCTTTATGCCAAGCATCCAGCACCATCCTTGCATGAAAAATTCTTCATCACTGTTTAAATAAATTCAAATCCATTACAGTGTTCTGAAGCGGATAAATAAATCTGTGGTCAAGGAAGAAATCAGTGGGCACGTCCTGATTTGTTTAGGTTTTCAGGAAGTCTGACAGTGCTCCACCAGAGACTGGATGTGACTGAACCGCCATGAAACCGGGAGAGATGCTTTTTTGATCAAGGTGACCAAGATGGCAACCCATGGGCACTTCTCAGGCCGGGTCCTGAGCCCTGGTGGTCTGAGGAGAAATGGGCAGCGTGCGCCTGGCCTGGGCTTAGTGCCGGCCAGAGGTGGAGCCTGCCCAGACATCACACTCATAGTGGTGGGGAGGTGTCAATCTGGAAACACAAGATGGCAGGTGGAGGCATTTAGGGAGACCCTGCCCTGATAGGATCCCAAAATGGGCGGGATTGAATGAGATGGAATTTAACGTGGAGCCCATATTGGGTTCACAAAACTAACTGCGTGAATGTAGGCTGGGGGATCGTGGAGAGAGCAGTTCCTTTGAAAAGGATCTGGGGGTCTCTGTGGACTATACGTTCAATATGACTTGAGTGTGCTATGCAATTCAAGAAAGCTAATGTGACCTTAGACAGCATTAATAAAGTAGCTCCCCAGGTTTAGAGTCCAAACCCTGCATCTTGCAGATGACCCAACTGAGGCCCAGAGAGGTTTGAACCCAAGAAAACGTAACTGAGGATTTCGAATAGGATCCTGACGCCTCGGGCTGGGGGAGAGTGGAATGAATCCCACTCATCACCGACGTCAAAGCTGGGATGATAATTGTCTTCATCCTCCACAGGAGACTTGTGGTCAGGACAGGATATCTTGGGGTGGGAACATCCTATGGAAGGGGTGGGTGGTGCCTTGGCCATGACAAGATGACCAAGCATGCAAACAGCCTCGTCGAGCCTCATCCAGGGGCGGGAGGCAGGCCAGGATCCAGCAAGGAGGAGTGGTCTGATGGGCAGCGGCTCAGCCGGGGGGAGACACATCACAGATTAAGGGATGGAAAGTGTCCTGGAGAAAGGGTACATTCAGCCCAGGGAAGGGTCCTGAGGAGCCCGAGGAACACAGACGTGGCGGCCTCCAGGACAGCCCCCTCCACAAGGGCTTGTCCTGCTTCTTCTCAAAGACCTTTGCAGTCAAGGGGAGCTCACTACCTGTCCCCATTCCCGTCAGATGTGCTGTTAGGAAGTGGATAATCGTGTCCCCAGGAGATGTCCAGCCTAATAACCTTGACCATACAACCCTCCCCACCTCTTTATGGGGAGATCCAAATCGTGTCTCAGTTGGGTGCCTGGCCTGGGCTAATGTGGAGCATCTCCAGTCTGGTCCATAGGCTAAAGGAAGGCTGTGGAAGGAGGGGCCTGACCCACCAGGCCTCCAGGAATGCAGATTCCTCTGAGCCAGAAGGAGCCCCAGGCCTCATCAAGCCCAGTTGCCTGCTCAGGGCTTAGGCCACCCCCAGAATCAGTGAGCCAGCTGTGCAGCGGTCTGACCCAGGGAAATCTCACCCGACCCCTCACCTTGCCTTACCGCGGCCCTCAGTCTGTCCCACCAGAGGGGGAGGGCCTGAATGAAACAGAAGAAAAGGCAGAAGCCTCTGGTCCAGAAGAGTCTGGACGAGTGAACAGAGAAGTCGGCTGGCTCTTCCGCCTTGTGCCACTGGGCTGGGCCCCCAGCCAGCTGCATCCCTGGCACCTGCCCTGGGCTTCCCTGTGCCATATTCTGGGGGCTGAGCTCAGGCAGCAGCAGACGGGATCAACAGCCAGGTGAGTGTAGCCTGAGCCCAGACTCCAGACCCTCGGCATTACCTCAGAGGATTTGGTCACCCTCCCCAGCCGTGGAGATGAGGCGTCCCTGAGCTGGGCCAGGGACCCTGACCAGGAGGCCCCCACTGGCAGTTCCCCTTGGGGCCAGAAGCCCCACCATTGCTCTCAACCCGCCCCCCACCCATCTAGCTAGGAGCGGGCAGGGGCTGTCCCGGGGGACCAGCTCTGATAGCCCTAGATTTGTGTCCTTCCAGAGACCCAACGGAATGGGGCCAGTCTCCTCCAGCCTCCTCTCTGCCCTCCTAAGAGGCCTGTTGCGCAGCCTCCTGGAGAAGGTGAATTTCTGAGCCTCCATTCAGGTTCCCTGAAGTCACGAACTTGGGTCTTCTCTTTCTTGGGCTCCTTGGGCCTCAGACAGCACTCAGAGCTCCCCTCAGTCAAGCAAGAAGCTGCGTTTGTGAACATCTCTTGGGTTCGAGGTGCAAGGGGCTGAGTGGCCTCTGGGGAAAGACACACTTCACGCACATAGGGATTGACAAAGCATATTTATAAAAAATAAAAACAAGGTAATTTGACCTCACCAGGGGTGGCCGAGACAGAAGGTGACAAGTCTTTTATGGGGGGAGGGGGTGCCTGAGGGGCAGAGGGAGGGCGCTCACTCTAGGCCTGGGAGATGGGCAAAGGCCCAGAGAGTGGACCGTGGTGGATGAGAAACAGCAACATTAGCCAGTTTGACTGGGCCTTCAGAACCGTAACACAGCATCCCTCCCAAGAGTCAGGGAGGTGGCAGTGAACCTGCCAAGGGCCGTGAATGCCCAGCAGATACGCCTTGCTTTGATCCCAGGGACGGACGTTCCTGACGACGGCAGGTTCTCAGTCAGATTTCAGGCATGGATCTGGGACGGGGAGTTATGGCCAGAATGCAGGTAAAAGGGGAGGAGCCCTGAATTCAGGTGCTAGCCTTGGCAGCAGTGGGCAGAGGGGCATCAGAAGGCATCGAGGCGGGCCCTTCAGTGCCTCACCCAAGGGCACCTGTTGGCCACCTCCATGGAGCCCTGGACACCATAGTTTTTCCCATGGCCTCTGATACACTTGCAGCCTCTCTGAGGGCCCGTCCAGCATGGTGTCTTTGGAGCAGGACTCTGGCTGTCCTTCACGGGGCTGGACCTTTGGCACCTTCCCAGGGCACAGGGTGTCTCTCCTCTCCTGCTCCCTGTCATGGGTCACAGCTGCAGAAGGCTGACAGTGGCCTTGAGCTGTGGTCCTGAGGAGGGGCCCCCCTGAGGTGGGGTCAGAGACGAGCCAGGCCACCTCCCTGAACCCTCAAACCAGGCCACAAGGCCACTGGTTTGCCAGCGCCAGGAGGAGTCTGCTGCTCCCTGGGAGGCGCAGGGCAGGGCAGGGCTTCAGGGGCCCCTTGTAGCCTCCAAGAT